CTTGCTTCTTGGCATCAGCGGCATCCTAGCATGGCTTCGGTTTTGTAACCTCAGACTTATCAGCTGCTCCGGTCAATGCCTGCGCCACCACATCGATATCTGTTGTGGCCCGGGCTCGGACTCTGAGCAGACTTGCAAGCCATGATGTAGGCGAGACCATGGGGTTTAGGGTTTAGAGTTTAGGGTGCGAGACCATGCTATCAAAACGCACCCCTAAGCCACCCTAAGCCAAAAAAATATTGTAAAAACAGACCAGCGTGAGCCCAGGATCAAAGCACACCTGCCTGTAGCAGCTGGCGTTGGGCGCTTGAGGAAGGGGTGACCTGTGCAAGCAAGCGGAGATTGCGTCATAAGCTGGTCACATCAGCCCATGTTCTTTATTTACATGTCGCCCGGAGCATACTAACGCCCGTAATGTACTAGCAACGTCAGACTTCTGTGATGAACAAGTTTTTGCCAAGCGGTTGAGGCATTCCATGAGGCGAAGACAGCAATTTCCAGGAGCTGCTGCGAATTATTGTGCAATCTGTGCACTGCAGTGCCTCACTGCTTCGACTTGATTTTGCCACTGAGGGTTGCGCAGTCTGCACACCTGCTCGACGGCCAGTTGTGTGTCGGACTCCCAGCGTCTGCGGCAGCTGACATGGACTGGAAGTTTCAGAAACAGAGGCGCAGCCCTGAGCAGCTCAGACGGCGCTGCATCTTGGCGATGTGGACGGCGATTGAAGCTTGCAGCCGCGGAGTGCCGGTGCTTCCAGGCTTCCCAAACTGCTCTGGTGCCACAGGGGATGAAGTCTCAGGCTTCTGCATCCGGATCCAGAATGTCTTTCCTGCTCAATGGCTCTGCAATGCTTCTGCGTGGTACCGTATAAAGGATGCTGGCCAAGGGTCCAAGAACAGAAACAAAAAAGGCCGAGAAAGAAACCCGTATGAAGACAAGCGTCAACATACGCCGTACGCTTGGATCACTTTCTGCCTCCTCTTGCAACCTCTGGAATGTCAGGATCTCTTCCACATGACTTGGCTCCTTCACGATACATGTGAACCAAGATGCTCTTGCCACAGCAGCTGCGAGTCGCCCGGACTTCTCACAGTGAGCTGCGAGAGCAACGCAGAGATCAGCTGTGCTGTCCTAAGAACTACATGACTCCAAATGTTGAACTTCTAGATATGGTTTGGTAACCTTGGCACTTCAAGGCATGCTTTACAAACGCACACGGAGGAACACAGGCCCACCCTGCCTTATGCATGACGTCTTTTGCAGAGTTGTGCATTCCCTATGATGTGAAGACACGAACTGCGGCTCGGCTGCTCACAAAGTGCTGGAGCAGGTGGTGCTGTGCGAAGGCGTTCCAAAAGCCGGCGTAGAAGCTGTTCAGGGAAAATAGGCGACTTTGAAGTACTATATTGTGTAAAATTCAGTGTAAAAAACGGGTTCCTCTCTGCAGACGCGCAGTTCTTGCGCATCAACTGTGTCAACGGAACGGGGCAGATGTCGAAGTCACGTACACAAACGATCAGCTGGAACAATGCCCTCAATTTCGGATGGCATCATGTCTCCAGACCGAAAAAGCCAGCGATATGACATCAGAGTCACTCCGACGAATCCGACGATGTTCAGCCACTGTCACTGTGCCTCCAGGTCAAGGTTCCAGGCAGCAGGGTTCTCCTTGACATCGCTCTCCAGCCACTGAGCGCTGCGAGCCACATCTTCCCCACTTTGAGCATAATCTCTCTCCTGGAGATCGCCTGACAAGGTCTTAAGATGCGTGACAGGGCTGAAGGAACCGAATCTTGCCCTGCGAGTTTATGCTGGTGATCATGCTGCTTCGACTGCTGGCTCATGCGCCGCCTGCCGATGCCATCTGAATCTGCTCTTCCAGCTGGGCGATGGACTTGAGCAGGTCCTGGCACATGTCGCAAGAACCAGGGCCGCAAGCTGCAGTACCGCTATCTCTGCCGGTCCTGCCAGGACGCTGGCGCTTCCGAGCTCACCTGCCGGAATGCATTTTGGAGAACAAGATCGACATGTGTCAATGGCACGGAAAGCACGGCCTTGGCAACTGAGAGATCTTCAGGCGGAGCTTCCTCCTGACATGCACACCGCACCATGCTAGCATGCCCCTACATTCAGCACACGACGTGTCCCAAAGAGCCGTGACAGGAGCCTGTAACGGGACCGCTTTGGGGCGCGCAGCTTGCCGTGGTCGGGGCGTCCTCGCTTGGAAACTCGGGGGGTGGATCTTCAGAGCTGCTCAATCATCCTCCACTTAGAAGCCCAAAGCCCAAAGCCCCTCGCTGTCCTTCCGAAGAGGGTGCCGAAGAACTTAAGGAGTCCTACCTCAGAGCTATGTTCGAACTGGGATTAAGGGTTTGGGGCTTGAGGACACGGGCACTCCCGCGGAAAAGCACCCTTTCTGCGGGATGCCACACAAGAACTGACGTCCTTACAAGATCTGCAACATCATAGACGCATGCAAGGCCAAACAAACAGCTTTCTCTCGGATTTTTGGTCAGGTTGCAGGGAATGCTCGCGCACTCTCCAGGAAAGTAAAGGGCAGCCCCACAGCAACCAAGAGAAGCAGCCATGGAACAGCCTGACAGGCTCTCATGCTCACCACAGGGCATCATAGAATCATAGGTCTTCTGGTAGGCTCAGCTTGTAGGGCTCCGTATTCTGGCTGAAGCATGTCCACAGATTGGAGGTTTCTACTGTTCATAGTAGAGATCAACCGACACAGAATCCTAGAACATACATAATCACAAGTGTAGCAACTGGTGCACGCGTTCAACAACACGCAGCGAAGGTTCAGAACAGCACTTGCGTTAAAACAAACTAACTAGACGCAGACAAATTCTTTCGACAGAGTTGTGCTCGTAGTCGCAAGCCCCAAAGCCTCCTCTTCATGCAAAAACCGAAAATAAAAATAAGAGTATTATATCAATAATCGTTGTTATTATCATAAAAATAAGGATAATAGTGACAACATATGACAATCACAACGAAATAGTATTACCTGCAGATGTGCCTCTGCCGGGATTGTCTGAGTGTCGACGGCGCGACGAGGCAGGCGGGAGAGCACCCTGCAAGCAAAGCGTCATGGGCTTAGGGTTTAGGGATGCAAGCTACCCGAACCAACATTTTATATGCTACTACTCAACTCTGGCAACTCGAACCCATGCTCAAGAAACCTACCCAACAATTATCATGCCTAGGGCCTAGGGTTTGTAGATGTTTGTAGTTTCAGCCTTGTGGTTCGTTTGTGTTCGTCTCCCCGGGATCAGCATTCTCGCAATGAGGACATTGAGGCATCAAGACCTGCGGACATATGGACACTTGCCGATAAGGCAATTCTTGTTTGCGTTTGCCGCAGTATTGTGCTCTGGTTTGCCCGCTTATGTCTTACGTCTCTCTGCAACTGAGGCGAAATGCAGATACGAATCACTTGACCCTCAACAGCAAGCGGCCCGAGTTCACACCAAGTGCTGGAGAGTTCCAATCATAATCATCCCCTTGAAGGGGTGCCGGCGATCATTGAATATGGTTGTCGGGCCTTCCTGCCTCCCGGTCGTTGCAGCCGTGCCTGTCGTGCTTGCAGCCTGCCCACACCCCGAAGAGTCTAAGTGCACACGGGTACGGCTTAGAGTTGAGGCATTTATAGGACATTTTAGCAAAGGATATGATCTTATAGTATATGGTATGATGTCATATGCCTTGTATGAGAGGCTTGGAGGTTTGGGCTGTCGAAGGCTTACGCATGAGCTGGCATTGTGTTGTTTGCAGGTCTCGGTGGCTGCATACCAGCATGTGCATTTCTTCGATGAGTTTGATTTCCGGCACAGCAAATGAGGGACAACATGTTTTGCTCAGGCCAACGGCAAGAGTCCCCGTGTCACAGCGGGGCGGCTCTGAAGCAGGCTCTGGAGGAAAGCCCTGGCCGATGCACCCACAGATAAACGGCATGCGGCTGCGACCACCTGGCGTTGTGCGCATCTCCCGTGTCTTCCCTGCCAATCCTATGGCGGCTCGGGCGGTTGCAGCTGACCGTGCAATGCCATACCGTGCAGAGAGTCGAGATGAGTCAAGTGTCCCAGAAAAGACTCTAATATACGTTGCATACATCCCCCAAACAAGCTCGGAGTTGCGACCATCTTTTACTGTCGGTGCCGCCCCCAAAGGCTGGATGCGCCCCTGCGACGGGTTGCGAGCGACACTCCCGACATCTCCCGACATCGAGTGTTGGCCTACACGCCCAGAGGCTGGGTAATGGGCTCTGGTTGCGGACATCGGGACTTCTTCCCCTTCCTGCACCTTCCACATGTCCTGAACATCCTCTGATAGATATCCGGTGAATGCTGCGGGATTGGAAAGTTACGGCAGTGCTCACATGCGCGTCTGAGTCTGATTCCGTACGATTCAACACGATGATGGTGCAGATGAGCATCACGCCTGCGGCTGCCAGACTGACCTCTGTGCAGTGTGCGAACTCCTGCAGGCCGAACTGCAAGTACGAAGACGATTGTAAGAGGGGTTCTGAGGCAGGTGAACACCATATGCAATATGTCTAATATGTCTACCAAATCTACGACAGTATAATACAATCAAACAAAACAGAATACAACACAACATACCAACACATATTTAATCTGAGACAATACAATACCGCTCTTCCTCCTTCCCTGCTGCACTTAGAGGACAGCAGTCGTCTACTCTGTAGCTACCACTACCCGGGAGTTCCGTGAGATGAAACATGAAGACTCTGACGGCGTTTCGCCCCTAGCACGTCTAGGACCAAGGGAGAAGAGCTGATAGTGAGGATCCATCCATGGGCTATAGAAGCTGCGTCTGCGCCTGACCCGCACGAAAGCTGTAGCAGGTTCTGCTGCTCCGACCATGCAGGAAGAACACAGCCAGCTAGCCTCTGGAGAAAGACAACAGTGGTAGCTTAGACCGATGCTGAATGTTGTCTGACCTATCCACGACTGTCAGGCGAGCAACGTCACGTCTGTAGCTGATCAGCAGATGGGCTCACTGCCGCTTTGCCATCCAGGTGAGCACCAGCAACTTCGAAGGGCATGCTGTGCTGCATTCCATTGCTTGGCTTTCGGCCGAGCCGTTGCTGCGGAACACCAAGACACAGCTTGCAGGGATGCTTTCCTCTACTCTGTCCTACTGCCCTTGAAGCCTTGACATCTCTTGACCGGACAAGAGCCGACTCTCGCACCTCCAGGCGCCGCATTTCGGCGAAGACCTACTGCAACTCGTCCCAAGCCCAAGAAGGATCCTACTGCCGTGTCATGCAGACGGCTGGTGTCGACTCGACAGCATGCATTTCATCCCTATAGCAAGCTGCAGGAAGGAAACGTAGTGGCGAACAAAAGATCTGCTGTTGCGCCTGCTTGGCCAGCTGCAGGCCCTCATCTAGTGCCTGCAGCTGCTCATTCGAAGTGCTCGCCGCCTCTGAAGCACCGGACGTTTCAGGAAGCAGGTCCTGACAAGCGTCGAAGATGGACTGGAACACGCCGCTCAAGAAGGTCTTGTCCTGAAGAAGAAGCCGTCGGAGCAGCAAGAGGGCACTGCGGGTGCTCAGGCCACGACACAAAGAGGAGCCACCTGACAATCCCATCTCCCATTCCCAAACATTCAATTGCCCTCAACACTAAACCAACGATTCCAACACCCTAACCCTAAATTCCAAACACCAGAGACCGTGGCTTCTGCTTCCCAGAATTTTTTCGGGCCGACTGGCGGCCTGGCGAAGCAAGGTCAGCGATCTCTTGATGTGTGTCTCCTCAGCGTCCATCCGGCGGCTTCGCGGCGACGAATCTACGAGTATCAGACAGTCAGTGCAGCTTATATTATATGTATGTGTATTTATCTATGTTTATCTATTTATCTTACATAAACAAATACACCATGAATAAATATATACCTATACGCACGCACCGCAGGCTTCCGCACGGAAGCGACGGTCATTGAAAGACAAGAAAGCCACGCTGAAGAAATGCTGGCTCTCAAGCTCAGGGCTTTCTCTGAGCCATCGGGCTGTCGGACGCTTTGTCAAGCCCTTAACGAGGATGGAGCAAGTGAACCTCAACTCAGAACTCGTCTTCTTGTGAAGCGGAGGCCGACCACAAGAGGTTGCCGAATTGCGTGAGAACCCAACCGATCTGGCCGAAGGCCCCGTCCGGACATGCTGTCGAAGAGTTGCCACCTCAGGGTCTTCACATCGCTCGGCTCATCGCCGAGCCTGCTGTGAGGAAGGCAGAGCACTTGCTGACTCAGGTGGCTGCGCTTGGCAGACTTCTCCGCTGCGTACAGCGGCATCCTGGTCAGCCGCCAGCTCCGCCAATGAAACTCCGTAAGCTATGTGTGTGTATACATATATATATATATACATATATATATATATGTAGTTTAACATATTCATAAACAACTATACCATAAATAAACATATATATATGTATATATATATATGTGTGTATGTATATCTATCTATCTATCTATCTATCTATCTATCTATCTATATATATATATATACAAGCGATAATGAAGGACGGATAAGGACTGCACCATCACTGTGTTGAAGGTGATGGCATTAGGCCTCAAACTTTGATAAAGACCAGACAGCAGCAGCAAGAGCAAACGGTCTGAGTTCCTGGCCGCAGTCCTCGTTCCAGCAATTTGGCCAACACCTCTACATATGATGGATGATATGTAACATATAACATAAGGGCTGTAGAGGCTGAGGTGTCTCCCAAGGATTGCACATTTTTGCTACACTTTCATGTGGCAACTTGTCGGACATGAATATATGCCAGCTGACCTACATGTCGCTCGCAATGGCAATGCATTTTTTGCATGACTGCCTGCTGGGCTTTGGCCAGATCGCTGCGCTGGGCATAGCCTTTCACCAGGGTGTTGTACCTCAGATGCCAAGAAAAGAGGTAAAACCTGACACCCTACTGGAAGGTTTGATTGCCACGCATGCGTACGTCGCTGGCTGGGAGTTGGGCTCACCCTTCAAGAGCAAGATTCAAGCTTCGCATTGTAGGACAAAATCGCTAAGGTCCCTGCGACACGATGTCCACGCTTGGAGCCTGCCATATACAAGAAGCTGCTTGCTGCCGGAGAGGGCAGGGCCCTTTGACGGGCGGCTGAAAATTCATGAACGCTTCGGAAGAGACACGGTGCGAATGGCATGCGTTTCGGGCCCCAATTTCGGGCCTCTGCCAGCAAAGCCTCCACCTCCTGTGGCAGAAAGCAGGGTTTTGCAGATTTTGCAGTTTGAAGTTGATCCCACCGTCCGTCCTCGATGTGGTCCGCAACGACTCCAGTGCTTAGGGCCACATTCATGGCCAACGTATCCACCTCCACGCCACGACCTGCTGCGAGCGCGCAAGCACATGCTCTGCACTCCAACCCTGAAAGAAACCAGCCGACATAACCACTAGCTCTGAACATGCTTCCAAATATGATTGACTGCTCGTCTTGCTTGTCGTGCTGCCGAACTCACGGCAATCCTCGCACGGAATCTTTCGAGGAGCTAGGCTACGCAATGCCTAAACAAGATTTGCGCAATTCATGTCGTGGGAAGGATAGAGGCGCAGAGAGCGCACAGCCTGTGGCATGACTGACACGGCGCAATGCGCTGGAGGATGGCAGCTTCTGGCAAGTACACCCTGTTCTTACAGGTCAGTTCCGTACTTTGGTAACCGACGTGCAGAATCCTCGCTTCCAGCTACTACTGTATAGTCTCTACCTTCCAAGCAAACACTCTTCTGAACTGAGGGAAGGACGTCTCATGTCTCGGATAGTCCAAAGTGTTGCAGGCCAGTCCTCTTTCTACCAGGCTACTTACGTCAGGATTGCGCAGGAATCGTGCACACATCCTGCCTGGCGCATGCTGTGAACACGCAGCACGGTCATGTACCTGGAGGCCAAACACCGCTAGATGCCATTGTGGGCAAGCTGGGCCCAACCAAGGTCCAGCTAGCAATCCACTGGGAGCACGCCCGGATAGAAGGCGTGCTCACCGTCGAGAGAACTCAGCACGAGCTCGGAAATCAAAATGATGGAGTGGTTCTGCTTTTGGAATTCCTTATTCTTTTGCTATAATATACAGTAGTCTACTATAGTAGACTGTAGTGTTCCTGAAAATACTATATTTTACAGTCATATGGTCACTCAAGAGAAGCTCTGCGGCGTGAGTGTGGCGCGGGAAGTAGACATGATCAGGAAGTCAAGCCCGGCACCCTTAAAGAACTGGATGGCCCTGTTGAGCTCACCCACCTGACCGCCACAATAGTAAGTTTCTATACGGGATCTATAGGATTCTTCGGGTTTAGAATTCTTCTCCGAAGGCACTACTCGGGCTTGTCGTCTCCGGCATTCATAAAAAGGTGGATGGAGTTGCCCCTGCCAAGCTGCCACTCCTCTCTCTTCCTGCCTCGACTGCGAAGTTGATGAGACAGCTCAGCGTGACCTGCCACGGGCATCAAGAAAATTTAAATGTGCCCATGTACTAGTTCATATAGTATAGTATAAAATAGCATCGTATATAGTAATTATGGTATATAGTATATAGTAAAATATAGTACAGTACCATATAACATAGTAGAAAAGCACAATATCATCTGACATGCAAGCTGGACCGCGGAAGGTTGCAGGCCGTCTGCTGACAGTCGATCGTACACCTAGGCTAAACCAGGCCCACATGTGTGCCGGAAGTGTCAGGCAAGATGTGTCAGAGTCCTTTGGGCACCAGACAGCCAAGGCCAGCTTGTACTTTTTCACTCCTGGAGTCGTGGCGATGACAAGAGACTGACGGAGTCGGTTTTTGAGCTGACCTGCGAGCTGCTTCATGGTGCTCTCGTAGAACTGCAGAGGGCGGGCGACTCCCTGGCGAGCGAGGCGACATGTGGTCTCGCGATGGATGCTTTCTGTGCCTGCGCGACCATGTCATCCAGCAACCTCTCCACCAAGTTGAAGCGGCCAGCACGAACCACGCAGTAGACCTGCAGGAATGCCCGAAAGCATCAAGAGGAAGCAGATGGGAGAGGTAGTTTGCCGAACGACTCGCACGGCTAGTCCAGGAAAGCACTCCGACAAGACATGCGCAGTCATACATTGAAGCTCCACCACAGCAGCACGGCACACAGCATCTCACAAGACGAATACTACAAGTATGGGAGGAAGCTAAGCCCTAAACCCTAAACCCGGGGCAGGTGCCAGAGCTGCGAAGAATTCGACTGCACTGTGTCGTGCACTGCTCGCGACCTGGATGGGAAAGGGGAAATTCTGGTTTGGTGATTCTTCGCTGAGAAAGGATCGGCCTCGGGGATCTGCGTGTGCTTCTCGGCAAGACTGGATAAGAATTCGTCATACATCTGGATCACCTGCAGATCTATCCGTTTTCCTGCCGCTCACCGCTTCAAGGGCTGGCCCCCGGATCAGTTTCGTCAGCAGGGCCAGGGCATCGCGGCCTGGCCGACGTTTCGGCTTGCATGCCTGCGAGGTCTGCGGGGTCTGCGAGGTGCGAAAGGCTGCTGCAGACTCGAGGTGCTGCGACGTGCTGCGAGTGCTGAGCTTTCCGGCTGATCTCGTGCCGAGGCGGCGATCTCATCAAGTCGGCGCGAGGCCTGGGCGAAACGGGGCTCCCCAGGCTCTCTTGCCAAAAAGATCGCACTTTCCTGAGGCAATCGCGGAGCCGGAAGAGCAAGAGGTCCGAGCAGAGCTCACCTGCTGCCTCGGTCTGACGCTGGTTTTGGGGCTTACCGTAGGGCCGTAGGAAAAAAAGGGTGTGAAGATGCCTTCAGTTGTGAGCAAAAAGAAAGTGGCAACGGGAACTCCGGGTCTGCTTGAGGCCCCTGCTCCTTGCAGAGGGGCTTCTTCTGTACCTGTCGCTGTCTACATGCCCTAGCCGGCATGTGGGTAGTTCTCTCAAGCAGGGTCCCTTTTGGGGGGTCCCCAATATAGTACGGCACCCTTCTACCACACATGTGCCATAGAGCGGATGCACGGCGCGAGCAGTGCAGTCCGCAAGCGAGGTAAGAACAGTGGGGCAACGTCACATTGGATGGCTGTGCAACTCGCATTTCTCTTCGGTACCACCATGAGGTTTCCACAAGTGAACAAAAGCACGGCACCCTTATAAAACTGACCCGAAAAGGGACCCTGATTAGAGAGAGAACTACCCATGTACCAAGCAAGACGGCAGGTAACCTAAAGCCCTCACTGAGTCTAGAGCTGGAGGCGCTTTGCAGGGCCTTGCAAGGACGCCGTTGCACAGATTGATGAAGGTTTAGGGTTTAGGGCATCTAGTAATCAAACAAACGGATGAGCTGCAGCAGGCGACTGTGTTTTAGGGCCGCAGCTCGACTGCCTTTGCCGCGGGCAGCCTCGCATGCCCAGCAGAAGCAGTCTGATCGCGCGTGGCGAGCTATGCTGCCGAAATCCGCGAACTTGCCAAGTCTTGGAGAGTGAAGAAAATAATAGTAATAGTAATGGTAATAGTAATGGTAATACTAGTAATACTGATACGAATATTAATGAAAGGGGAATATCTAAGCTCCAGGCTTCCACGAAAACCAAGATGGGCACCTTTCCTTTCAAGAACTTGCTGGGCCACCCCCCCTAGCATCGCCCTTGCAGCGGTCTCCTCATCACTGGATGCTTTGAGCTTCTTTGCGTCGACGTTTTTCTTGCCGACTTGACTGGACAAGGGCAAGACTTGTTTGAGGAATGCTTCGAAAGTCGGTTGATGAGTTTGTCTCTCTGTCTCTGTCTGCCCGTCTGTCTGTCGCGATTGGTTCTGGGCATCATGAAACAGGTCGGGCAATCTGTTGCAAGGCTGTAAGGCCTGAAGATGAAGGCGACCGACAGGGTGACAACGAAAATCGCAAGCTCCACCCCGACGGACCTGGACAGAGTAACAGAACGTGTCTCATGCTTGCGAACCCCAAACCCTGGCATTCCGCAGTGAAGCCCTGAAGAGAGAGCATGACTAAATGATGCAATCACCACCCGCGCTGTGCCCACAAGTCCTACACCCAAAACATGCGACCTCGGTGGCTCGCGCAGGAGATATTATCCCGGCTCCGTAAGCTCATGGCTGAAGAACTGAGGAGATGGAGTGGTGGAAGGAATCCGAGAATTGGGCAAACATCCTGGGCAAAACTCTCACACACGGGAAAGCTGGAACTGTCAGTCGTCGTGAATCAATGCTTTGTTCTGATGGCTCTATACGCACGCCTGAAGGGAATTGCTGCAGAAGCCGTCCAGAACCTGCCCAGTGGAATTTCGGCTGGTATTGGGAACTCAAACATGCACCAACCCGTGTGTCGCGCCTAGAGGCAGCTGCAGAACAGATAAAGCGCTAACCTCGACACGGGATCTCGCACACGTGCAATAGATAGACAAATTCGCCGTTTGACAGTTTCGGCGGCCGCTGTGAATAGCTAGGGGCCCGGCTAGAAGCGTAGTTAAATCGGCATGGCATGACTTGATCGCGGACGAGCCGAAACAGCAAATTCGCACCGACAAAAAGTCATTTGAGGTGTTCCTAGTCCAGCCACGAGCAGTGCCACCTCTGGTCTCCGGTTCCGCAAGCTCCCAGATCTGCTGCCAAACTGTTTCACGGGATCACGGAGACAAGAGAAAAGCCGGGACAATGGAAAATCTGGATCCTAAGAACCATGGCAACATATAAATATAGTAGTCCTTATAAACCCTATAGTACCCTTATTTTGGTAATCCTTGATCCCTGTACCGGGATGGGAAAGGAAGAGAGCGTGTCGTCGCGCTCCTTTTCTCGCTGAGCTTAGCATGGCCAGGTGCCGGTCGACTCATCGGATTCCGACTCACTTGACACCTCCAGCCCCTGGCTTTAGGATTTAGGGGTTTAGGGGTTTAGGGTTTAGGGGTTTAGGGTTTTAGGGGTTTAGGGGTGACAAAGGCATGCCCCCAAGCACCCCCACATACCCTGAGCTACAAGCAGAAGGCCGTCGATTCAGATCGCGCAAAGGCATGCGTACTACATGTCCTCGAGCCTGGGCCCAGTCACGGTGTGCCTGGCCAGAGCACCGAGGGTATTACAATATAGTATAGCTTTGTACTATTTGCTACAAGATGTCATGTCATATACTATCATATAATACTATGTAGTGCTTTAGTATCTTATAACACACTATATCATACTATAAGGTGGTCATGATGTTCACTCGTTCCTTTACTCCTACATGCATGCATGCATGAGTAAACACACACACACACGCATATAGAGAGATATCTCTATATATATATACACATACATACATACACACACACACATGTATGTATAGATACATATCGCATGCTTTATACTTAAATGTATGCGTATCTATAGGTGTACCCATATAAATGTATGATCTACATGTATGATATACACATATGCAGGTGTAGACTTGTCTTCGTCCATGCCGATCTGAGCCTCTCTCTCTCTCTCTCCCTCGCTCTCTGGATGGATGGATGGATGGATGGATCGATGGACAAATAGCAAGATGTTAGCTAGCCAGGCAGACAGACAGACAGACAGACAGATAGAGCCAGATTCAGAGAGCGATCTTCGGCTCGCAAGGCGGAGATGCCACCCAATGCACTTTGCAAGCCCGAGTCGCAACCAAATGATGGGAATATAGCGTGAGCACTGCACGTACAACCAGCCGAGGCTGTGTTGCCATGACAAGGCCAAGAAGGGAATCAGAATGATAACAACAGAAGCAGACAGACCGATCTGTCATATATTCTGTTTATGTACATACTGAAGATAGTTGTATACCACATAATAAGTAAGTGCGATAGGTTACGGAAGCACTCCGGCACATGGCCTGGGCCAGTGCCAGGACGCGCTCGCTCTTCTCCTGGCGGTCCCAAACAAACACGTTTAGGGTTTAGGGTTTTTAGGGGATCCGGCTTGCAAAACGGAACGAAACGGCAACCTAACTTCACTCCCAGGGTGAAGTTCCGCATAGTGCCGAAAGGCTACCAGAATCCGAAGAATGCTCCGGGTTAGAGCCCGAACCAAGGATGGTGCCTTGAGAAGTACAGCATGCTTTTTGTGGTCATGCTCCCTTCACAGATTGCTCTCCCAAGTTGTACATGTTCGGTATCATCCGAAAGGATCCAGCGAGCCCTAAACTTTACCCTAGACTCCTTTCGACATCCGCCGGTCCAATTCTGGGCTTTCTGAGCTCGCAGGACAAAGTACATGGAAGAAGATGGCAAGAAGTGGTTTAGGGTTTAGGGTTTAGGGGTATCGGATGTTCCTTGATGTTTGTTGCACTCCACGCCACTTATGCATTCTGCATCGGATAGATTCTGAAGAGAGCCACCACTGGAATCCCAGGGCTTGCCGCAGCTTGCCTTTGGCGAAACGTTGTGCTCGCACTCTGGGAGGCATTGCTCCAGTGAGGCCTTAATCAATAGTTCAAGTCTGTTCTTGGACCTTCTCTAGCATCTGAGATGCAGGCCTTTGCCTCTGCAGCCGCACTGCTCCGAACCTTCCGGAGCACTTGGGGAAGGGAGGCCCCCCCTGCACTTAGCTACTACTCGAGTCAGAAGCTTAGAGGTTGCAAGACTCCTGAAGAATCCTCGGCCTGCAAAGGAATCGGCTGTGGGATTGATCTCTTCGCCCGTCCGGAGAGCCACGGATGGCGAGCAGCCTCCAAACACGAGCACGTACTCACCCCACATGCAAGGCCTTAGTGTTCCACCTGCGCCGCTGTACAACGACTGTTTGGATCCTGCATTGTGCTCGTGCGAACGCTAACCACGGCCAAGGATTATGCGGTCCTTCTCCAGCAGCCTAGAAAGGAACTCCCGGCACCTTGATGAAACCTGTCAGACTTGTCATTCAGACAACGAGCACACGCCGATCTCCTCTCAACGATAAGACGTTGCCAAACTGCATACTCTTGCAATCCTCAGCCTTGCTTTCATCTCGTTAATGCCGGGCATGGACAGACACATGAAAAGCAACCACACTCACAAGGCAGCACATGCGAACCTGATGGCTTCCATCCTTGGACCTGTGCTCCGTGGAATCGGGAAAAGCCCCAGGTAGGAGTAGGCTGACTAGGCATGCACACTTTGGTTAACGAAAGCCCCCACTCTGTGTGCAAGCTGTGCTACCCTTGCTTCTGGAAGACTTCACAAGTTGGCTGAGGCGAGAAAGCAAGCCCAATGCAAGCTCGGCCCGGAACTCGAAGCTGGGATATGAGTCTTTGCTGCAAACAAGTCTGGCAAGCCTCAGTCTGTTGCAGGCCTATGTAAGAGGTGCACTACAATGGCGCGAGGGGACGCATCAAGTCAACCGACAGCTGCAGTGTGCCGACTGATCCTTGATTATACTTATAGACTCCTGCCTGTCAATCTGCAAGTAGAGTGCCAACAGCCCTTGCAGAGCTCTAATTACCGCCCAAGCCCAGGAGATGTGTTGAGACGCGAGCTTCAGTGAGGTTTCCGCATAGTAAGGTAGCTGACCTCGAAGCTTCAGCAAGCCGCCATAGCTGGTGCCCAAGCAAGCAGATCTTGCAGCTTGCCATTGAGGAGTGTCATATTATTACGAGATCGCAGATGCTCCTGTCAGATCGTGAACCCCAGTGAGAACTCCTGAAGAAACTGTTGACTGTCATTGCATCATCGTCGCAAGGAGATATCGCGACCATGACAGGCCCATTCGCGTCAGGGTTACTACGAAACCCATGAACGAAACCGAAGCTGTGAAGCCTAATTACTCTCACAGCTCAGCGCTAAACTGCAGACAGGACAGGCTTTCTGAATTTTCAAAACTGGAATCGAGGAGCCAGAGAACCTCTCAAGCAGGCCGCAGTAAGGGGTGAACCGAGAAGCGCCATGTAGATCACCACACCAGCAGCATAAATGTCCACTTTGGCGCCATACCTGGCTGTGCAGTAGCAGCAGCCTCCTCAGAATGGAGGAGCAAATTCAGTATAATATAGTATACAATATAATGTACTATCATATTATTTAGTATAGTATAATATGAAGGAAGAGGCCCCGGCAGCTTGCTCCAAAGTTTAAGTCTGCAGCGGTGCCTGAAGCCAAAGCGCTTCTTCCAAATCGGCAGAGCGCCCTCCTCTACAGTTTTTGCTCGGCGGCCAAGCAGTGGCTGCCATGTTTTGCGATAGGCTACGAGACTCCGACACTTATTTTTGATTCTGATGTTAACTTGCCACCAGTGGTCCAGTAGAGAAGCTCCTGTCTGGTTCCTAAAAAGCCGAAGCCAGGGGAAGGACACCTAACGACAGACCACCCACGGCGCGGATAGCGGCAGATTGAAAAATATAGAAACGAAAGAACCCCTACACCCTGAACCTAAGAAGGTCTTGCCCTAAACTTTAGCTGAGTTCCTAAATCCCAAGACCCTGATCCTAGCACAATTTCTGGAACCATGCATGTTGCGGCACAATGTGTCTTAAACCTTGTGCGAAGCTTCTAGTACGCAGAACCCAAAGTGGGCTACGACGATAAGAACTAAACCCCAAACCCCTAAACCCCTAAACCCTAAACCCCTAAACCCTAAACCCCGACACCCCTAAGCCCCTAAACCCCTAAGCCCCTAAACCCCTAAGCCCCCAAACTCTTAAACCCCTAAACCCTAAAGTCTCCTGCGTTGCCCAGATTTCAGGAGCGCAGCAGGCGGGCGTCCTGAGCCGAACTTGCCGGCCAGAAGACCCAAGAAGTTTTCGGGCCCGGGGCTTATAAGGCTCTCTTTTTCTTTTACGAGGGTGCTAGGGTTTAGGGCAGTTTAGGGTTTGACTCTCTTTTTCTTTTATGAGGGTGCTAGGGGTTAGGGCAGTTGAGGGTTTAGGGTTTAGGGGCTTAAGGTTCAGAGCTTAGGGATGCTTCCTGGCTCCTGTTTTGCGGCAAGACTCTCGAAAGGAGTCACCAACAATCATTCTGAGACGTGCGCCCGCAAACGATGTCAAAAGAGCGATCATTCTGTCGCCAGCAGCACTCCTGCTTGATCAGATCTGGTTGGAGTAAGCTACTTCAATTAGGATGAAGGGCAAGAGCGGTCATCTGGAACATGAGCCTTCTATTCAAAGGGCAAAAGGAGGGACCCTTAATGGGGATCCCTACTCTTTAATGGGCCATATAACCGGTAAATTAAGGTTATATACCTAGGGGTCCTTTTTAAGAGTCCCTCCTTTTACCCTTTGATCTTTCCTCTCCGTCTCGCCGCGGGGCCTCCTGGCCGACTGGTCCGAGGGAACCCCTGCAGCTACCCCGATGCCAGAAGCTCCGAGCTCTAAGAAGCACTAAGATGCCTTAAAAAAACCCAAGCCCCAAGAAGGCCTCAGAATAAGAACC